TCGATGGTGATAAGATGTACAAGCATTTTACGTTCGTTAGAGGTGCGATCAATCAACACCTCCTTGATAAGGCTATCAAGCTGAGTTTTTTGGTTTTTCAAGCAATCCTTCATACCAAGATCATTACCCTCCTCAATTTGAATAAATGCCTGATGAACTTCCGTGGTAAACCAAATACGCGAGGCCACGATAATTGCCTGGCAAGGATATTGATAAATCCATTCATTTCGTGGTTTTTCAATGTAGCTTGCGTTTGCTTCCTTAATCTGCTTCTTCACCGCCTTCTTCATGGCGCCAACGATCCCATCAAGCCAAACCTCAACGGGACCCTCACAAGTGTAATCCTCCGCAAGACTTACTTTTTCACCTTGGACAGAGATCATTTCATACGTGTCCTTTGGACCCGCGCGGGGATTGGGATTATTCGCAAACGAAAAGGTATCGACAGCGTCAATAATTTTACTCATGTGCACCATAACTGCTTTCGGATCTGAGCCCTTGGAGAGAATATCAATCAAGTCCGTCGCAGACACAAAGAAGAACCGTGGGAAAATTTTTCGCTTGGTCTCCAAGTAGTCTGCCAGAGCCTTCTCACACTTTGCCAAAATATCTTGAATATAGTTTAGTGTGCTGTCGAGCTCCTCGTTTCGCCCCAGCTCCGTCTTTAGGACGTCGCTGCAAATCACCTCAATGACGTTGGTGTACTTGTGAGCCTTGCTCATGAGAATGCGAAAAACGCGGTCAGCCTCGGCAAAGTTTTTGGCCTCCTCCGGAAGCTGCTCTTTGATGTCGGCGGAGCGAACAAAAATGGGAAAGAGGTTCATCCACTGTCGTTGTATTTCTATCCACTTTCCGGTGCAGGTGTCCACGGCACCAAGATTCTTTTGCCAGTGCATGACCTTGTCATAAAAGTACTCCACAAAGCGGTCGGAAAGCATGGAGGAAAGAGCGTTGTTGTCATTCTCCAACTGCTCCACCACATCGTCCACGGAGCCGAGGAGGTAGGTGTCGAGGTCCTCGTCCAAGGTGTACGTAAACTGCATCTTCTCCCAAATGTCGATAAGCTTATTAAGGTTTGTCTCAATTCGCAGCTCCTTGTCGGCCTTTTCAACAATGTTTGCAACCTCCTCCGAGAACTTGTGCAATCCAAGCGCAAACAGTTTCTCTAGCGTAAAATCGCTTGCCTCTGGATCAATATTGCCGGGCTGTTTCGTTGTTGTCACCAGCAACTGCCAGTGTCGGGGTCGCATGGAGGGAGAACTCAACGACTGACACAACGGCAGCGAGGTTCGCATATTCCGCACCTGCTCATCAACGCCCTTAAAGCAATCCCACGACTTCACCTTCATTGGCTGCTGTTGAAGCTGCTTGAAAAGCTTTTTACACTCATCCTCAAACAACGAGACATCGGCATTCTTAAAGGTTGACTTCATCCAATCACTAAACTGCGACATCACATGCTCGTTCAAGTCCCACACCTGCTTCAGCATCATCAGCTCGTGACGGCATTCGCGGATTTCTTTGAAATGTGAAGGGTTTAAATCAAACAGCTCCTGAAGATTTTGCAACTCCTTCGCCTCATTCTCGATCTCCGTGAAGTGTTTGTAGACATCATCCAAGTCATCGTAGACTGTACGACGATCAACCGGATAGCCAAAGAGCTTTTTCTGCTTGAATTCCTGCGCCTCATTGTGAAGCTTCTCCTCAAACTGCGCGACCTGTTCCTTGACCTTTTCCGCCTCTCTGTCCTGTACAATGGAATTATGGGCCCGCACATTCAACGCCTTCTTGTTGAGCGCTACCCATTGCTCAGGGGCGGGTTTCCGTAGCTCATCCAGCTTTTCAATCTTTGCCAGTTCCACTTCCAATGACGCCGAGGTGTTTGCGTGCGTCTTCAGCATGCGAATGGCAGCTTGAATAGGAGGGAACATTCCACCCGTTTCACTATTCTCATCCGCGCCCATCACCTCCTTGTTCCTGCGACGACAGTCTCTAATCCATCGCATCACACACTTGAGAGACTCGACATTCCCATCAAGCACCTCAATATCTAGCCCTTTATCCGCCTCCTTCATGAATTCGTAAAGACCATCCAAGTCTGTGGATATCTTGTTCATCAGGTAGTCCGAATACATCTCCTTCCACTTCTTGCAGATGTCCCGCAGCGCCGCACGGAGAGGTTTGACGTCAATGGAGACAAAACTCACAACATGTCGTTCCTCAGTGTTGCTGATTCTTGTACTGATACGCTCGTATTCCGTAATGGACCGGTCAAACTCTTGTAAGCTGACACCAAAATACTCACCATTGCTCGGTGGAGGAGGCTCTTTAGCAATGTCCTCTTCTGTGTAGCTGTTGCGTCGCTTGACTACCTTGTCCTTTTCCAAGAACGCCGTAAAGGCCTTCTTTCGGTCTGTTTCCCATAGGTGGCTAAACTCGTCAAAGGTGCGACGGTACTCCTCACAGTCCTCGTAATTCTGAGACACCAGAGCCTCAATTTCCGCTTTCACGCGCTTCACCTCGTCATTGCTACCCACCTCGGTGGCATAGTTTTTTCCCTCGATAAAAGGTTGTATTAATCCTGCCGCCGACTCAATGTTGGCGATGGCAGTGTTGATGAGCCTCTGCACGGAATGCTCTGTTTCCGTTGCGCCCCTTATGTGTGGCTCATACCGCGAACATGGTGTAACGCCTGCAGTCGGCCTCGTCAGGCACAATCGCACCTCCACAAGCGGGATACCTTCATTGTCGGTGATCCACTCAGGGTCCACCTGATTCCGCAAGCAATTTAACGAGCACAGGGCAGCGTCGGTAATGGCCTTCTTCAAGGTTGCGTCCACGTACTTGACGTACTCCATCCACGCCTCAGAGTCTTCAGTGATGGGCAGAGCCCCCTCACTCTCCTTGAGAGCATTTACAGCCATAAAACTCTCATGCAACAGGGCATGAATCTGCTTTCCACGTTCTTCAATGTCACGGCGTCGGTGTTTGATGTATTCATCGAGGCTCTTCCACAATTCGTGCTCGGTGAGCGTCTTTGCACCATCAGCACGGTTGAGGGGGAAGAATTTGTCGGCCTTGCGGTATTCCTCCACGAGGTCCACCATCCGCTGGACATTGGTGTGAAAGGTCAGGACAACACGATCAATGGCATTCACTTTTTGCAGCGCAACTTCGATAAAGGAGTCAACCTCCTCGCTGTCTTGCCAACGAACCTGCTTCATACCGCGCTGCACGATGTTTTCAAAGGCGTCTAGCTCTTCCTGTAGGAGAGGCATTTCATCTTCCCGACGCAACGTACTCATAAAGCCATTGAAGGTAGAACTTACATAGTCAAGCTTCATCGTCTGAGAACGGTACGTTTCCCGCTTTTCAAACACTGCCTGAACGTCCGCAGGGACCTCAAGCTTTTGGTGATCACGGGAGTCAAAGGAGTTCATCACCTCCAGGTAATACACCTCCCGCAGGGTTTTCACAAGTGCAGGATCAAAATTGACCTTCAGTTTGTTGTTTTCATCCATCTCCAAGAGGGTCAACCGCAGCTTGTCAACACTGATGGAGCCAACATCCGCGCACCATGCCTCGTACTTTTCTCGGATCGTGTTGCCCAGCGCAGCACACAGATTCTCATACAGCTCCATCGTCTCCTTGCCAAACTCACTGTCAAGCAGAGCCGGCGAGAGCTCAATGATACGGCCGTGCGACTCATTAATTCGGTCCAACAACGCACTGCACCGCACAACCGCCGCTGCGAGTGGAGGTATGTTGGGGTAGGACCCTGTCGATTCACCTTGGTAAAACACCTCTTGAACTGAAAGAAGGTCCTCCTTAAAAGCCTCCAAGACGGATTTTTGCTTCTTGGACCATTCCAACTGCACAACCGCATGGTCTGTGAAGCCATCAAATGTATCCACGGCTTTAAATACCTCGGAGATAGCTTTGGCCTCGTCAATCGTTGTCACGAGAATGGCGCCCAGACGCCGCTCAAGCTCTCGAATCGTGGCTTGGAACTCGGAGTAGTCGGTGTCAAAGCGAGGGTCATCCACGTCAAGCAGGTTGTACTCCACACCAAAGAACTTCATGTACGCCTCATCAAATGCAACCTTAATTTCCTCAGCCTCTTTGGTGTGCATCTGACTATTAGTGCCTCCCACCTTAATGTTTTCCATCTTGTCAAACAACACGGCGGTCTCCATGCAGTCCAGGAGATCGTGACAACGCTCCAGAAACACATCCAATCGTGAGAAAAATGCCGTATTTTGAAACTTCCATGGACGCGCCAAGGTAGATACATAAGCCTTGTAGTGGAAGTAGGCGGCCTTAAACTGGCCACAAACCGCAAGCGTTTCTCCCAAGCGCGTCAATGCATCCTTCTTTTCCACGTTTTTGGCAAACTCTTCGATGTTCACGTGCTCGGCCGCCATCCCAATAAGGTCGTTGCATATAAAGCGAAGGAGGACAACCAGACGCACTGGCGTATTGTAGAAGCCGGATTGAGTCCAAAGGAGATACAAATAGTGAAAAAGCCTTTTAAAAGTTCCACCTGGAGCCAATTGTGTAAATTCCACGTGGCCAGAAAAGGAAGGGCACATAGCCTCGAACTCGGGTTCAATTGGCTTGAGAAAGCGGTAGTTGTCCCGGGCTTCTGCAGCGGCCTCCTTTAATTCCTCTATGAGCTGAGCAAAGGGACCGTAGTAGCTGCTTTCTGCCTTTTTGAGAATGACAATAATTTTAATTGCCCTGACAGAGTACAGCTGCTCCTCCAAGTTGGCCAGGTTCTCCGCCTTACTCTTCCAAAAGGCAAGTTCATCCAAAGGTCCAGGGGGGACGGCTTTGCCTGCACTGCTTTCCGTCATTTCCTCAGGTGAGGAATCAATCGCCGCACGAATCTGAGCCGTCCAGGCTATGATGGAGCTCTCCAGACAATAAATGAACTCCGCTTCAAAAGGGCCA